ACACACACACACACACACACACACACACACACACGAAAACACACACACACACAATTTGTAAACTCTCACTGGTGGAGTGACAGCGGGCTAGTTGATAAGCTACAACAGGAAAAGCAAATAAGGAAGTAAAACAGCAACACTTGAGAGAGGGCGCAAGATAAGCTTCCCGGACGCACCGGTCAAAAATTGCCCTTCTCGTATCTGAAAAGATGTCAACGCTCGAAATTAATGCCTCACCATTCCAATCACGAAACATCAAACCACAGAAGAAAAACGACGTTCAGAACGAAAAGCTTCCTTATATTAGAATTTAGAAGCAACAAGGCAGTGAATCCCGGCTCGGTCTATCTGAATCTTGACTCCTGACCCTTTCACACAGCCCGGTCAGCGCGGAGAATTATGAGATCCTGTGTCAGTCGGTGGTCAAGAGCAACGCACTGCCAACTGGTAGCGAGGAATGTTTCTTATCTCTCTTTAGTAAAGTGCGCTCGTCGGCTGAGGTCACGTACAACAACTGATGACTTTTCCTAAACGTTTCCCTTTCACGAGCTGGCTAGCCATGCTAGGACATGCAATAACTTTTTAACCAAGCCGAAACCCATTAAGCGTTGTTTTAGTAATAACCCAGGCTCTCAGGTTAAAGTACGTGGAATGTACTTTCAACATGATAAGACCATTGCAGTGTATACGGATTTTAGTACATTTAAGTACTTTTATTTACATATGTTTTTTGGGGGGTTTTCTGGGGGGGGAGGGGGAAAAGGATATATGTTTGTTTGTTCTCTTGTTCCTCTGTTCAGTACCATTATTTTTAAAATGTAGTTAGTATATTCGCTTTTGGTAAAGAAAAAAGTACACCAAGGAAAATGACCAAGAATCTGTCGAGCTGTATAAAATAACTGTAACTGTTTTCTGCTCTTTTTTGACACAATTTAGAACGTATAGGAAGGGAACACGCCAGGCTTGTCTGTCAGGATCAACCCGAGCTGAATGGCCTAAGCATCCTCGGAGAAAGAAGCCGATACTCGACGCGGGAATAGAAAATAATAATAATAAATAGCATTTGTATAGTGCATATCCCCGCTCAACAGCAGGCTGTATGCGCTTTACACTATATTATTACCCCAGCAGACCATAGAACACTCCGAAACATTCTCAGCTTCCCGGGAAGCATACAGTGCAAGCAGCTGATTAAGCGCTCAAACACTAACAAACTGACAAGATCTTTCGCTGTCTATAGCCGGGTACCCATTCCCACCTGGGTGAAGTGAGGAAAATTCGTGTAAAATGCCTTTCCCAAGGACACAACGTCGGGTCCCTGACGGGATTCGAACCCACGACCTTACGGTTGCGAGTCCGAGAGCCTAACAACTAGGCCACCGACGCCGATAGAACTGAGATCTTTGGCTGCAACGTTAAAAGGGGCGACCATTTTACCACACACGCCAGAACGATCTACGGATTCGTACAAGCCACAAAAGACAGCATTATCTTGACACTGGTCCAAATCAAGACTCCCAGCAATTAAGATCAATGGTAAATTTTTTTTTTAAACTGCAGGTGTTTTACGCCCCTATAGACACAATTTAGATCTTTTAGGAGGAGGGCTGCTTCGACCCTGTTTGTCAGAGCCAACCCAAGCTGAGATGGATACAAAAATCCCAGCAGGAAGCCCGACATACTTGATAAACATGCCCCCCCCCCCCCCAACCACCCCCATCTGGGAATCTTAAAAAAACAAAACAACTAGAGGTTTTGCGGCGCTCGCAACTGCATAAGGTCATATGAGCGACAGAAGATTTGAGGTGTCACAAGAGAGTAACAAACATAAAAAAGAAGAAGGGGAGAAAAGGACGACAGATGTTTGATAGGAAAGAAGGAGCAAACCACACCAGAGCACCCGCCAACCACCGACATCTGGGAATCGATTGTACGTCTTTTGCATGCGATGGCAAAGCGTCCATCGGC